TCTTTCTCCTGTGGAGCAGTGGGTAGGTCTGAACTGTCATCTTTGCAGTTAGCAGCCTAACCCACAGTAGGGCTCCATATATGTGTGTGTGTATAATACATGCATGGTTTGCTGTGAAGAAAATAAAAATGGCACAGGCATGTGCAAAAAAACACTTTTGTCATGCAATCTGAGCTATTTTCCACTCTAAATGCCTAGTGACATCCACATGTCATTCTCTGATTCAGCTGTGAATGTTCTTTTTTCAGCTTGTATTTTTGATATTAATCTACTGTCATATTTTTTATAATTAAGTTGCAAATCAACCAGACTGAGCTAATGGGTTATGTAGAGGACACAGTTTCTATTTAAGGATCACTAGAAATGTCTTTATTATTAGGGTTGGCAAGTTTGGCTAATTTTTTTTGTTTTAAAAGGATAAGAGATGTGTCTATATTTCATCGGCTTAAGTGTTTCCCACCGTGAGCATCTTGCTGAGGTTCTACAGGTCCGAGTCTCACTATCAGTTAAATATGCGCCTGCACTTTCTCCTACGTAGTATTATGGAATGCATTCTTAAGTATGAAAGATGTCTTTGTATAGTATGTCCAAATGTTGAGCAATATCATTTCAATCTAAACACAGAAACGAAAAAAGAACAGATGATTTCCCTTTTGCTGTAATTCACTTTGGGATGCATGTCATGAAGAGCACGATACAAAAGCAATTTTCATTGATTGACTGACTGATTGAGGAAAAGGGTGAATGTTCTTTCAGCTTACGTCCCTTCTGAAGTATGATTCTTATAGCTCCTGACAGCTCTTCACAATTTGTAGTTAAATGCCAAGTTAGCAAAAAAAAAAAAAAAAAAAGAGAGAGAATGATAATAATTATTTGGGTTTTTAGTATAGCTGGCTTGAGCCAACTAGATAAATAGCAGAAGGGTGAGATAAATTCAAACCCAAATGCTCTAATTCCTCCACTCATTGTATTTAGATTTTAGAAACTATCATTTCTAAAAGTACTTTATTAATAAGCTCACTGCATAATCTAATCAGTATTTCTGACAAACACATAATTCTTGTTCTATTTCTGTGGAAGGTGCTACTTTCTCTAGGGTAATTCATTTCCACTGAAATTCTGGGGTAGAGCAGTATTTTGCATTGGTGTCCTTATCATCTCAAAAAGAAAACGTTCTCCGGCATTTAGCTAATTTGGCAAACGCTTTCACCCTGAGATGAAATTAAATGAATGCTGATCTTTGGGTTATAGATGCAAACACACGGCCACTGATGAAACTGGAGACATTTTCTAGAAACGTTATCTTTGAAATTACTGTAACAGATCCATGCCTAATCACTGTTACTGTTGGTCTGCTCCTAACTGTTACACTTATTCTCCTAATGACATGAAAACACTTGGGGAATTTCTTTCCTTAATTTATGTAACTAGATTGTTCTCAACTGGTAAGTCAAACAATGCTGCTGAAATGATCATTTTTACTTGAAATAGATGGATTTCAATGGGTTTTCAAATGGACTAAATTTTAATGCATGTGAGAAAGTCTGATTTGTTTGAAAAATAGGGAAGATGGCTTATTTGGAGAATGTTTTTTATAAATATTGAAGATGTGAAGTCAGAGAGAGCAGGTCATAATAAACATATTTCCAGGGGAGAGGCATGTGAAATGTCTTTCCGAGCCTGCCACATACAAATGCAGAGCCTATAAGAATATTCAAAAACTGTTTATACAGGTTCACTGTTGGTTTACTACGGAAACTTGAGAAGACTTTTGCAATTTGGAACTGACATTCTTCAAGCAATTAAACTTCCTGCAAAGTAAGCCCAGGTTTGGGGAAAGAAAACAACCAAACAACAGTTCAAACTAGTAAATAATTGCAGTATCATTGCATCAGTTTAGTTTAAAGAGCTGACAAACCCTCTCTAAACTCCACGCACAATTAGTCATTAGGGTCTAGTTTTTCAGCACTGTTAAGCAATTTGTAACCCATTCCTTTTAATAGGGTTAGGCATTACTTAACCCACACAGATGCCTTGAAAACTGAAACCTCGAGTTATGAAGCAGCAACCTTGTTCATTACCTTCTGTGATAGGCAAATCATCTATAAAAACAGTGTTTAATGGGCAACCAATGAATAATCAATGGCTTACTTTTCATCTGAGTGTGAAAATGAGAATAATCTAATAGAGTCCCTCTGGTAATAGGATGAATCTTGGGTTCTGCTGCTTTTCAGGGTTGATTTATAAGGTCTTGAAGAGCTGTTGTAAACAGATGATCAATGGACCCCATCCCTGCTCATAATAACCCCCAACTGGCCCACTCCCTCTTTTCCAAGTCCATCCCTTCAGGCTATTAGCTCTGTCCAGCTAATTCTTCCCACTACTCCTGCCTGCTGCTTTTACTTCGGCCATCCGTTCAGTCCAGCCGACTCAGAAGTAATTTTATACGCAGCAGAGAGCGGGTGGAATTGATTTTTCACTCAGCGCTCAGTTCCCATCTGAATAATTATCAATTTTACTGCCTCATAAAGGGAAGAGTCAAAATTTCAAATCAATTCAAAAGAGCTTTTGAGATGATAGAAACTGTGCATAAGAATAGAGGTCAAAGTTGTCAGTGACCCAAGGAGATGATGTCACATATTACTATTTACCCAGTGGTTGACATCAGAGGCACTCAGGATGATAGAACCTAGTGCTAATGCAAATCATATTTATGCTGACTACCAGAGACCAGCCATTAATATTTAACATGCTATCTGAAAGCCTACATTCCAAATAAATAGAATATATTCTACTGTTAATAGAGATATATCACTACTTAGTCAGATGCTGTAAAGTGAAGGATTACCAAGTATTATTAACGCACCAAAATTACTTAATCCAACAAATGCATGGTAATTCTGAGTAAAGACAAACTCACTTGTCTCTTGCAAAACCACATCACTTGCTCGGCACAGTCTGATGTTATTTTGTCTAGGACCACAGTCCATTGATTTTTGCTAAAATTTTCTACCAACTTCAAAGTTTCTGGGACAATACTGTGATTATGGCTGAGAGTGCTGGCAGGAGGGATTTGGTGGTGGCCGTGTAGCTTGCCATGGTGGGTGAGGACTGGACCTGACTCCTGGCCAATCCATGGGCGTTTATTGTCTCCAGTGGTACAAGCATTGTGTTAGTGGTTCTCAACCTTCCCCATTCCAAAAACTTGCGGGGCTATGACATACGCCTGCAGGGGGCAGGGCAAGGGAGAAGAGAGAAATCAAGGACAGTTTGAAAAAGGTCTTCCAGGTGAATCTGAGATCTTATCCTCAGTCACTACTTCCTTGAGAATCAATAGTGTTAGTGATAAGAACTTGGGCTTTAGAGCCAGGTTCGAATCCCAACTCTACCACCTACCTTCCGGTTAATTTCTCCATGTTTCCTTTTACTCATCTGTAAAATGGGGATGATGACATTCACATGTCAGGGTTGTCATGGGGCTTAAATGAGAAAACATCTCTGACAGTCTATACCCCGCCTGCTCTGTCACTCACTTTGTTGTCACTATACGATTATATTAACCATGTAACTGCTGAGTTAGTTGTCTCTAGCTTACCTGAAAGGAAACTGTATTAGAAGAGAGACTGTCTCATGAGTCTTAACAGTGCACGCACCTTACACAGTCAGTCTTCAGTAAATGTGAGTTCCCCTTCTCTTCCTTTACTGTATTACCAACATGTTCTAACAGTTCCAGGGTCACACCTAATAGTTATAGGACTATCTTTGTCTAGTTACACAACCTCGACTCCTGGTGTGGCACTGTAGGACCAGCACTGGACTGCAGTTCCAACCCACCAGCTGCTCCTTGGAAACCCTAAATAGGGCCGCTATGAGCAGGAACCGACTTGGTGGCACTTAACAACAACAACACAGAAAATGGAGTGCTGATGTGGCACTGTAGGGTGAACACTGGACTATAAGTTCAGTTTGAACTGCAAGGTGAGGGGTTCAAACTCACCAGCTGCTCCTATGATTTGGAATCAACTTGATGGCACTTAACATCAACAACACAGAAAACAACTGGGTAACTGAAACATCACCACAAGTGATATCATTCACACATTAGCAATAAGTGACATTTCCGTCTCATTCTATTATCATAAATTCTCTACCCAAAGTGACATCTTTCTGCTCATTGCAGGTGACTACTTCTGTGTTGACCAATGGTCATGCCGTGAGACTTGTTGATATGCTTACATTTGTGGATAGGATTTAGCAAAATCATAACAGTTGAAAACTGTGAAGTTCCAGAGTTGGTGGGAAAAAAATCACAGTGATGGTAACTTCACAGAAAAACTTTTTTCTTTAAAATGTTTCCTGTATGCTCATTCATTTTTTAAATGCAAGCTCTTATTATGATTTATAGAAATATAATTTTCCCCAATGCTAACCTTGGACAGTTTGGCCAATTAGAAAACATATTTGGAAGTATAAAAAGAAATTGTGGTTTTGTTATACTTATTCGTGAAATACTCTTAGGAATACTACCTAACCTAACTGAACCTTGATTTCTCTTATTAAAACGGGAAAAATATCAGCTATGACATAATGAATGGAAAGTTACTAGCAAGTTGCCTTACACAGACTAAGAGCCCACCAAAAGTTAGTTTCCCAGCACACCAAAGTATCTGCAAGGCAAACACAAGATGACATTATCAGAGGATCCAGAGAAGAAATCAGGGGTTGACTGTTTCTAGTTACAGCTTGGCTCTATGTTTCTCTGAAAAACGACTCTCTTTTTGAATTCTAGCTTTGCTGAGGTGCTGCTAGCGATTTCTTGAGGCTGGGCTAGTTGAGAGGCCAGGGTACTACTATTCCACTTTTAGTAACCTTGTGGATTCCTTGTGGATTCTGCGTAAAAAGTCTTGGGAAGACCAGCTGCTCTAAGAGATATTCATGAATCAGGCTGGTTTCTGGGAAACTAACTAGGGTTCTACGTCAGGTGACCAACCACCAGTTACCTGCTGCAGGACATCTGGGTTTTGCTGCATAAAGTGTAATAGTCTCTGACCAGCCTGGGAAGTCTCTCTGCATCGAAGTGGCTTCTTGCCCTCTTTTGCTATGTGCTTGAAGAGGTAGGTGACGATGTAGTCTAAACTGGTACAGCAGCTGGAGGAGACAACTGTATCTGCATAAACAATAAGTGAGAATTCATTTGCATCACTGAAGTGTTTGCTTCATCTATTGTTAATTACAATGCCTTTATTAAGACAAAGTTACTTTCTGGTTTCAAAGCCCATTTACCAAATGGTAAGTTTCTTGAAGGTAGGGATTTTGCCTGGTTTATCTCCTTAAAACATGTCTACCACAAGGGCTGGCATAGAGATAGGCTAGTAAGTGATTCCTGGATTGTGTTGAACAGAATTTTTTACTAGCGACCTTAAAGATCTTCACAACCACCCTCTTTTCAATTCAAGTGACTTTACTATCTACTTGGTACAAAATGCTTTGCATCAAGGAAAACAGGGTCCCCACCACCACGCTCCTATCACAAAGATCAAGATTGAGTATTCAAGCCACAGGAGCACAACACTGTCTAAAAATCAAGTGACACATTGCTGTGAGGATTTTGAGGCCATGTTTGGAGGGGGATCAAGTAAGTTTGGTGACTGAGGTAGTAACTAGATACTCCCAACTGAGACAATATTCCATTTATGCATAGAAACTAAACACAACTTAACCCACTGCCATTGAATCATTTCTGATGCACAGAGGCTCTACAGGACAAGCGAGAGCTGCTCTATAAGGTTACTAACACTGTCACACTTAATGGGAGCACAGGTACAGACAGACTCATCCTCCTCCTGGAGAGTGGCTGGTGCATTTGAGCTGTCAACCTTGTGGTTAGCAGCCCAACGTTTCACCCACACTGCCACCAAGGCTCCTTAAGACATAAGGAAGAACGTTTTTCAGAGATTGTTGGTTGTTGTTGTTAAGTGCCATTGAGTTGGTTCCGACCCATAGACCCTGCATAGGGCTTCCAAGGAGCGACTGGTGAGCTTGAACCAACGAGCCTGTAGTTCAAACAGCTTTGTAGTCTGGCGCATTAACTCACAGCGCCACACCAGGACTCCAGAGATTAACATGAAGCAATATAATATTGTGGGAAGAGCATGGATTGTTAAGCCTGAGAGCTCTGGTACCAAACCCTGTCTTTCCCAATTACTTGTTGTATTGTTTCTAGAAACAGTCACTTAACCATTTCCACCATTTATAAAATACCTTGCAGAGTAGTATGCGAAGAAAACAAAGTACATCAGTATAAAAAGTTGTTATTTATTGAATTTCAGTTATTGTGCTAAATACTTTCAAAGTTGTTGTTAGGTGCCGTCAAGTTGGTTCCAACTCATAGCAACACTATGCCCGCTCATGCACCACCCTCCCCATTGCTGTTACGTTTGAGCTCATTGTTACTGCCACTGTGCCGATCCATCTCATTGAGGGTCTCCCTCTTTTTCACTGGCCCTCCACTTTACCAAGTATGATGTCCTTTCTCCAGGAACTGGTCCCTCTGATAACATCTCCAAAATACGTGAGACAAAGCCTCCCCATCCTCACTTCCAAGGAGCGATCTAGTTGTACTTCTTTCTTCCAAGACAGATATGTTTGTTCTTCGGGTAGTCCATGGTACTTTCAATATTCTTCTCCCACACCATAACTCAAATCCATCGATTCTTCTATGGTCTTCCTTACTCATTGACCAACTTTCACATGCTTTACATGAGTGATTCAGTTTAGTATTATCATTGCCATTTTATAGGTAAGCACACTCAGGCTTAAGACAGATTAAATGACTTGTCCAGTGTCACATGACTACAAGATGGTGGAGCCATGGTCTGAAAATAAATAAGGAACTGGACTCTGGATATGAACTCTTATCCACTATACTTGTTAGATATTAAGCAAAAATATATGCAAGCCTCAAGACCCTTCCTAAAACACGATGGACTCTCAGAAGATGATAGTCGCTATTGGCTTGCCCTCAGTGGTGAAAAGAGGCTTTCTGGGAAGTAAGACTTTTGGTTTTAATGAGAGAAAGTGATAATCAGAGAAGTGATACAGAGAAGCTTGGAGTTTGACTGAGGGCATCCAGTAGTGAGCTGACATATTGTTTTGATGTTTAATTTGGGAGGTAATACAGGTGTCAACTGCAGGTTTTTTGAGCAATTAAGTAACATTTTCTTTGAATGCTAAAAGCATCATCTCATTTGCTTCTAATTATTTTGTGTAGTAGGTATTGTTATTTAAACTTTTCAATGGAGGAAATGGAAGCTCAGAGATTAAGTAATTTACCCAAAGTCCATGGTTTTGATTTATAGCGAGACACTACCCAGATTTCTTTGGCTAATGGTAACACCTGGACGTGATCTCTGGCAGTTTATGAATAATAGGAGAAACTATTAAGCAGGGTGAATATGGTTGACTCAAAAGAAGGGAAGAAGCAGACTGGGAGAGTAGGTCTGGGAAACAGTAGATTATACATTTCCTAAGAAATAGTTTCTTATTCATTTTCGTAATCTCTGAGGGTATGAGGTAGATGTATACCATGCCTAGATTTCAAAAACAAAAATCACACTGACTCATGTTGAGTCAATTACAAGTCATAATGGTGACCCTGTAGGACAGAGCAGAACGGCTCCATAGGGCTTCCAAGGCTGTAAATCTTTCTGGAAGCAGACTGCCTTTTCTCCCTCAGAGTGGTTGGTGGATTTGAACTGCTGACATTTTGGTTAGCAGCTGAATGCTTAACCCATGTTGCCACTATGGCTGTCATAGATCTGAGGTTAAATCTTTACAGGCCCAGAAAGCAGTATCTTTCTCCTGTGGAACTGCTAGTAGTTTCAAACTGCTGACGGTGAGATTAGCAGCCCGACTCATAACCACTATGCTACCAGAGCTCCTTAAAGCATGAGTAAACAAAGCTAATCTGAGAAAGTTTTCTAGAGGAGATATTGAGTTGTGTTCAGCAATGATACCTAGTATTAATATAATACCAGAGTTTAAAAGTCTCATATATATCATTTCAGAGAGAAATGTCATGATAAATTGAAAGACGGTGGTTTGGGATATAAAGTTCTGAAATAAAGACAGGCATATGAGGGGGCTTAAAAACACTTGTGCGAAAAATCCATTATTTTTGAATGTTTCCACGAGCTTTTTGAAGTCTCTTTGTAGGCACTGGAAACAGAATGATGGTAGCTGATGCAGTATCATCAAGGGTTGAATGGAGGCTAAAAGGGTGGCATAGACAATGTTTTGGAAAACTGTGGAACTATGAGGCTTTTCAGAAAAGAGCTTCCTTTTCCCTAAAGCTATGGTATTTGAGGTATAAGGTAAGTGGGTTGCTTTGTGGAAAACAGAAACGCTGGTTTTTCTAATCTCAGAGATAACAGAGTAATGGAACTAGGTCTAGGTACAGACTTTTTGAGCCTGGTTGATTTTCTCCACATTTATCCCTTTGAAGTTCCAATCATGAAAGTAAACAGATTAAGTAACTTAACATCTGCAAAAAGGAAGCAAGCAGGAAATAGATATGATTCCCCTCACTGTGAAGAGCAATATGCTATCAATCATACGAAAATTATAAAGACTTCACGTAGCTTTGGTGACCACATGCCATGCAGGTTGCATTAAAAGGTTCTAATCCACTGAGTCAGCTGTGAAAAAGCCAGGTAAACACTTTAGACATGAAGGTTGTAGCATATATCCTTGCAATAAAAGCAAGAAGAAGAGCTTCCATTATGGTTGATTTATGGTTTGGGGCTTTGAAAAGGATAAATGTTATTTCAGGGTAGATTTGAAAATGTGGAATCACAAATATAAGGGAGCAGCATCTGGTCAAGAAATGAATGAATAGTACTGAGGACTATGTTATATTATTGGCTTTCTGTATTTGAAGTTTACGCTACTGTCTTAGCTCTAAATAATGACAATTTCCTAATATAAAGGGATGGGCGTAGTCATGAATTTTCATATTTTGTTCTAGTTCTTGGTGCTTTGAAATCTTTACAAAGGATTACATTCATTATTTAGAAAAATAATTTGGGAAGTGATTTTTAAGCCGAACAGGCACTTTGCCCTCTCTTGCAACTTGTTTGGCAGTGAAAACAACCAAGTGTTCTTTTCCTCCTACAACCAGTCTCCACAGGAAGCCCATGCATCATTAATAGCCCTCCTGCACACTAAGACTCATCACAGAAAGCTGTTCTGAAAAGTTTACTGTATAGGAGAGAGTTGCTTAACTGAGAGTAAGGAAGAATGATAATTTGGCTTTGGCTCGAAAACTTTTTAAATTAAAAGAAGAGAAGATAAAGCTTTTGGAAAGATATGGTCTGAAAAGACCCAATTTCAGAATTGCAGTGGCTTTTGGAAATACATGGATTTAAATGAGAATATTTTTGAGATATTTGACTTCAGTGAGCGTCAATTTGTACTTCTCAGTCAAATGTGCTGACTACTACTCTGTAAGGTACTGTGAGAAATAAGATAAAGTGTATTCCATAGTACCTGACTCATAATGTTGTTGCTAAATGCTGTTGAGTTGGCTCATAGGGACCCTGTGTATCACAGAATGAAACACTGCCCATTTTCACAACTGATATGTTTGAGACCACTGTTGTATCTACTGTGTCAATCTGCCTCACTGAGGCCTCCCTCTTTTTTGTTGACCCTCTCCTTTACCAAACAAGATGTCCTTCCCCAGCAATTGGTCCCTCCTGATGATATGCCAAAGTGAGTGACATACATTGCATTACCCTTGCATTTTTGGAACGTTGTGGCTATACTTCATTCAGGAATGATTTGTTGACTTTTCTCGCAGTCCATGTGTATTCAATATTCTTCACCAACACTACAACTTGAATGTGTCTATTCTTCCTCAGTCTTCCTTTTTCCTTGTCCAGTGTTTTCATTCATTCTGAGATGACTGACAAGACTACGGCTTGGGTCAGGTGCACCTTAGTCATCAAAGTCATATCTTTTGTTTTTTAAGATTTTAAATGGTCTTTTGCAGCAGCTTTGCTCAGTACAATGCTATTTAATTTCTTGACTGCTGCTTCTATGAGTGCTGATTGTTGATCCAAGCAAAATGAAATCCTAGAAAATTCCAATTTCTTCCCCATCTTTATA